TTGAAGTGTGGCATCGAGAGGAAGCAAATAATACAGGAAACAGGAACTGTAATTGGTACAGGAAAAAAGCGAAATAAGAAATATATAAAATGTAATAAAATTAATAAGTGGTAAGTGACGGAGAGAAAAGCAAAATAGCAAACACGAAGGGAATTGTGGGTCTGTGTGCATTTATGGATGAGTGGCAGGCTTAACCGGATGCTCGGCACCGCAGGCAACTACTTTAATATTATATTTATAATAGAAATGAAATTAAGTATTGTACAAACCGACTTTTCTTGCTCGTGATTTACTTTAGATTTACTACCAACAGAGTATTTTCCATAAATGTGCAATTGGACTAGAAAATGTCAAGACCTTGATAGAGATTATCTTACAAATTCATAAATAAGTTTTACAATATGTAAAAGGGCAAGGTTAGTCAAAGTTATACATGGAATGTATTTATTGATTTTTTATACTCTTGCAACATGTTGCTACAGAGTACAATAGTTTTGTTCACCTAACGGGTTATTTATATATATATATATAATGATCAGGATGACGAGATGAGTTGTATGTTGAATAAATATTTCTGAAACAGGAAGTGTAAAAATGGATTAAAGCGGATGATAACCCCGCTCACTCCCTATGTAACGCTTTTGTTAAAAACTTTTAGGCGAAATCATATATATCGGGAACTAACTGATCAATTTCCACAAAATTTGGTACAAAAAATTACTTTAACAATCCCATCTCACAATGAGAAAATTAGCGAAATCGGACTACAACCATGCCTACTTCCTGTCTAGCACAGTTTTAAATTCTATATGATTCTTTTACTTTCCAGTGTACAAATCAAACACCAAAAAATATATTAGAACAAGACTTTGCACAAATAGGGCTTTTGAGGTATTAAGTCTAAAAACTGTCAAATTCAGACTATAACTGTCCAAGACCCCAGTTACGGAATATGGAGACCGCAGTGCCTGCGCTAACTTTTTAATGAAAATAATAGTTAATCTGTGAGATATATTATTGCAATTCGGAGAGAGTCACTTTCTGATACTAGTATGCAAGTATATCAAAAATGGATTGAATCGGATCAATAATTGGTTAGCCCCTATATACCTTATAGAAATATTTTTGAACTTCCGGTTTAATTCATACCGCATATATCGGCTAATTCATTAAAATTAAGTGGATGTTTTTTTCGTTATAATGTTTCATCTTTATGTTTAAAATGAGTAAAATCAGACGAAAACTTGCCCTAGCCCTCATGTAACAAATCACAGAATTTTCATATGTTGGTTACGGTATGTGAAGTACCTTATTGAAACTCAGAGAGTATTTGATTCTGTTAATATTATGTTGTATTGCTAAAAATAGATAAGATCGCTCATACACCTAGTATAAGATTTTCAAACTTCCGGTTGGATTTATGCCATATACCATATATCAGTCAATATGTAAGATATCTTAGCAAAATTAGCCGAACGTATATATAAATTCGGATACACTATAGTTTTACGTATAATATTTATAATGTATTTATTGTTATATATAAATACCTATATGTAACTATAGCTTAATACCAAAAATCAGCGAATTTTGTCTACGAATACCCCAACTCCCAAATACTACATATATTGTTTTTCGTTATTCTAACAAACTTTATGCCAAACTAGTCGTTCAATGTGTGTATTAAATATTTATAAAATTCTTGAAAATATGATATCAAGTATATCTCAGCAATGTTAAAATTGATTCAATCAGCCCATCCCCTTTTCTGTCTCCAGCCTGTATAATAATTTCTGACCTGGTGAAATGTATGATACTTTAATAAAATTAAATGAAGAAGCTTTCCTAAAAATTTTGGGAGAATATGAATGAAATTGGTCTAAACATTGGTCCAAACCATATATCCCTAATATAATGAATTGCGATCATCTGCTTGACGTTTTCACATCAATGCATATAATATATTAAATTTAGCTTTTTCAGTTGAGTTTATATCCCATATATCTCATATGAATAAATATAATATATAATATAACTTAATAAAATACAAATTTGCTTGAAGTCCAGTGAAGATTGCTTTGAATAATGAATGTTGAATTGTTTCGCAACAATTTACAATAATATAAAATTTTCCTAAAAACTGAGGGTATTTTCTTTGTTTTGATCTTTGCAAGTTACAAGAGTATAAAATGTTGGGTTCCACTCGAATTCGGCCATTCCTTACGTGTGAATATTGACCGTTTACTCATGTACAAGTATATATATCTCTTGATAGTTCGTCTTATAGTAAATAGAATGTTCTCCATCAATTCATCTATGCAGACGTTTGAAAGGTAGTTTTATTGCTATAAATTTATTGATAATCAAACGTTTTACGTAGAATTTACCGAAAAATTGGGCAGACAGATCTTTAGAAAAGTCTTCGAAACTAGAAAGTTTTATCGGAAATACATTTGATGTTTCTATCCTTTATATTTTTCTCACTGGATCCTAACCCTTAGGACTAGATACTTGTAGATACTTGTGTTAGAGAAAGTGTCTATAATTATTGTAAATATAGTATTTTGAAGTTATTGTTTTAAAAACTTAAATACAGCACGGATTAGATTTACTATTTTAGTTGTATCAGATGAGTTGAAAAGTTCATAGCGGAATAATTATTTTCCACAGGTCTTTCGCATATTCAAATATTCATGAACGTTATGTTCAACACTTTCCTTTGATACATTTTGAGAATTTCTGTTTTTGATGTTTTCGATCATATTTTAACTCTCTTTGACTGCACTGCATTTATTGTTTTCGATACTCATATACCTGTATGGAATTTCAGTAAAGCAGCTAACAAATACCAATAATTGCGTGGAACTCGAAAACTGTGCGCTTAAAGTTAGTCAATGATTGTCTCACTAAATACTTGTATAGCATCAAGCTACTTCATTATCACACTATATATATGGAATGGAATCGGATCCCCGTTATCATCTTACGTTCTATTGTAGCCTAGTCTGGACCTCGCGTGCGCTTAACAAGCATTGATTGACGACCTGACTCTGCGAGACTAGAACGTAGGCTATCTATTTAACTACTGGTTCTTAGCAAAGTGTATCTTGCAGCAATCGTAGAAATTTTATTGGACATTGTCCATAGGTCTTCATGCTGTAAGGCTAAAAATCCAGTCGGACGCAAACTGTTAAAGTTGTATGGAAGAAGGTGAGGCAGAAACATCCATACACTTTATCCTCCAATGTTCAGCTTTAGGAAGATTCTTTCAAAATAACAAACCTTGCTTCGCTCTGAACGTTGAGTATCATGAATCAATTGTCCGAAAACTGTCGCTCGGGTAGGATATAAGATGCGGGCCCATGATCCAATATTTTATGGATATTATATTATGTTTATTTTGAGAAAAAAATTGTTTAATTTTACATAATGAATATTTTTTTTTATTATATTAGCTCGAGTACATATATGATAACTTGATAATGATCTGATAAAGTATCCAGAAGAAACATTTATGTGGATATGAAATTTTTTTAATTGATCGAAAACCAGGCTTAAAAGAAAAATTTTGGTCGATATACTCGAATAATTTGACACCGGCTCCTTTAAAGCTATCTTGCACCATATATGGTGTGAAATTTAATGCCTCTGACGCATTTAGTAATTAATTGATGGCACTTTTAGTAGTTTTTACCAAAACCGTTATATGGGCAGTGGGAACGGTTATCATTTGATTTTATTTATTAAATGTGTTTTGTGAGCGTGACAGTGGTCCGATCGCGGTAGCTAATTTGCCGTGTTTATAATAATGAAGTACTACCACATGTTTTAAAGTCACTGCTTCTTTGTCACAGTTTCGAAATATAATTTCATTTTTCAACTTCCAGATTTCATTGCAAGTTGGTAATTACAAACCGTATATGTACATGCAGACGCCAAGCCTGCGGCAATTCCTTCAAGCAGTAAGACAATTTGTCTGCAACTGAAGCAATGCCAAAAAGAGCTGAGAAGCAATCAAGTTAACGATACATAAAGCGAAACAGACACAAACCATAGCATTTGACCATAGGAATCGGTGCAATTGAAATGTTTTCATTGTAAGTGGTTTGGCGAATGGAAACGTCAACGCCGGCCATTCCCATTTTCATTTAACTGTGGCCAAGAGTTTACGGTTTTAGTTGACTGCTCAAGCAATAAGCTGTTGCCCGCAACAACAACAACAGTCACAAAACAAGTAGCAACAACAATTGTAGAATTGTGCCACTATCACCTGAAGACTGAAAATTGTCGTGGACCCGCACAAAAGAACCAGTCAACCGCTTGCCAACAGACACATGATTCCGCACACACATACATACAAAAAGTAAGAGCAGATTGAAGAACAGTTTCGACTTTGTGACTTTGGTTGCGACGAGTTGACGCTCAAGTTTGCAATACAGTGGCAACCCACACACACATACTCAAGCGAGAAGCATTTAAAAGAAACCGAAGTACAGTTGTTAACGACTGCACCACAGCCCTACCTGCGGGTGATGGTATGAACAAACGCGCTCATTGATGGCCTGTTCGCTCTGTCTGCCGGCTGGTGTGCTTTCCGATTCAATTGCTTCGACCGGTCGTAATTAACTCCATACGATTGTTTCAACTATACATACGCACTTAAGTGCTTAAGTGAATATAGTTGTGTCCTTATGCTTGTGAGTGGCTGTGCCTGTATGTGTGTGTGAGTGCATCAAAGCATTACGTTTACGACATGCTCAAGCTAATAAAATATTTCCTACTGTAGTACGTGCATTGAAGCGTTACGAGCGAAGCAGTGCAAACGCAAGTGTAGGGCAATGGTGTAGGCGAACAAGAGCCATGCAAGTGGTGTAAACCGACCTCGATACACATGTATAATTATTTATTTCTATTTTATGTTTTTCACTTCCTTACTCTTGTCGACGAGTGGTGGTTCGGCACGCTGCAGCTTTAACTGCCACAATTCGGCGCACATTTGTTATGCACCACTCACATGTGAGCCCACACTCGCACAATGAACAGTTGGAGGTTTACGCCAGGTTTGTCTCCGCGGTATGCGCTCTGTTGGGGTTGCCATGACAACAATTTGCCCCTTTACTTTCTCCTTCAACTTAGGAAGCTATTGAAAGGCTTTCATTTGTCATGGAGTTTATTATGAAAGTTTATTTTGAGCTTTTGCGATCATTAAGAGGAAATGTTCTTTCAAATTCTCTTAAAATAATTCACCACTTCGATTGATTATTACGATATTGCGAGAAGGCTGATTGACCGAGTGAGTCTACTAATTGGCTAGTTGACTTAAAGTGCATGCTTGTAAACTGGCTTCTCGTAAGCTTTAAATTAAGCGGATGTTTTATGGAGACTTTGCAGATGGGAAGCACAAAGTTTTTTCAAAGCAAATATGGATTTATTATGTTCCAGCGCTCCAGCAGCGAGAATTCTTCAGATATGGAAGCCGTTACTAGCTTTTGAAGTTAAGCTAACCATTAAATATTCATTAAATTGAATTAATTAAATAAGATATTTTCTCTTCATGATGACTTTTAGCATAAAAGAAAATTAAGCTCGAGCCATACTTAAAATCCGCTGCAATTAAGGGTTGTGACTTGGCAATAATGTGGTGGATATTGAAAGTCGTGGGTGAGTTTCATAAATGTTGAAGAAGAGTGCAGATATTGAAGTCAGCAGTGAATGGTTATTTAACGTCTCGATAAATTTCAGCGGTACATTATACAAAAAGTTTATGGAAAGTAGAAACTACAAGATATGTACACCCAATAAACTTACTAGATCTATAATATTGTGCTGTCTTAGCAGTTACCATACTCCTACTCTCTCACTTTTTCTTTCTGAAGGCAAATATTCAGCGCTAAAAGAAAGATAAATTTGGCGAAAAAAAATTAAGTTCATAGAGAACAAGGTAGAGTCCAAGCTTTGAGAAGAAGTGAAATTTTAAATTAATTTGCAATAAGTAAGGCAGAGCTATGTCGGTATAACGGAACATTTTATACTCTTGCAACTTCCAAAGATCAAAGCCGGGGAAATACTTTCAGTTGTTGGCAATGTTAAAGAACCAATTTCATTTATATTGAGCGTCAAATCATTAATATAATTTTCCAACTTTTAAGAAAACTTGTCCACTTAATTTCATTAAAATAACTTCAATATTGGCCGATATATGTGGTATAAAATCAACTAGAAGTTGGAAAGCCTTTATATTAGATAAATGGGAGCTAAGGGAAGTATTGACCCGATTCATCCCATTTTTGATAAATATAAGAGTATATTATCATCAAAGAAATATTTTCCTCAATCCCGGATATATTCCGTATGTGGTGGCTTGAACAGTTGTGGTCCGATTTCGACACGAGATGGCATACCTCACGGTCACCATTTATGCAAAGTTTTATCCGAATACTGAAAAGTCAAAGAATCAAATGGAATTTAGAATTGTGCTCTATGGGAAGTGGGCGTACCGAGTTTGGTTGAAATAGGTTGAGCAGGGCCCAAGATATAGGTTTTCCCCTAAATGTTAGCGGTGCCATGCCTATCGTCCAATTTTGAAAGCGGCTCCTATAATGCTCTTTTGTATCATCGTGGGTGAAAAATTTAATTTAAAATGTTTGTTTAGACGTGGTAAATGGAGAAGGCGCCGAAGAAATAGTTCCAGAAACAGCAGCAGTCTTTCTAGTGATGAGCTCCAGGAATTAGCTGTATTTGACAGTAGTGATTTCATAGAAGAGATCAGATCAGATCACTATAGCATATAGCTGCCATACAAGCTGAACGATTGGAATTAATTGCTTGCATGAAAAACTTTTTTTATTTGACATGGTATCTTCACGAAATTAGGTAGGAGTTATTGTTTAAGGCAACAATGTATTCTCCGTAGAAATTGTTCACATTAGATCACTATCGGAATCAAGTTCTTGTAAGGAGCCTTTACATTTGTAAAGAGTATTTCGGTTGCACCGAAGCTAACGTTTTTTCTTGTTTTTATATTCGTTCATATTGTTTTATGTTTGTAAGAAGTCATTGGTTTTATTTATTTTTTTTAACATAATTATTAAACTTAATACCTAGCCAATTTTCTATCCATTTTCCGCTAACACTACTATTATTTACATGTTAAGATAGCCTCGTTTAGCGCTGTTTCGCATTAAGCTCTACTTTAATGGAATGTATCCCATTCGTTAAGCTAAGCTAAGTAGAACCCCGCTATCTAAGGTTTCCTCCCACATATCGACCCAGTCACAGATACCCAGAATACGTATTAATACTTAGTTGGTTTCGTAGATTACTGAAGTATTCCACGTTTTTTTGAATGGGAAAGTAAAAATAGTGTATTCGAAGTATTGAATATTATTGATTTTTACACATTTTGCCCACCTTTCCAAACCAATCACAATCCCAAATTTTGACTTCTGCGTAGGAATCGAAGTGCTGCCCAGCCAAGGCGTTACTCATCGATGAAAACAAACAGTAATCGGAAGGTACCAAGTCTGGTGAATAAGTCGGGTGGGGTAGCAACTCCCAGCTATGTACTTTGATTATATCCTGAATCGATTTTGCTTTGTGTTGTGTTTTTTCGGTTTTCTATTTGTCTTTTCTTCAATTTATGTGGCACCAATTTTTCACATTGTTTGATCTTTCCCATAGCTTTCAAACGGTCAGGCCGTTGTTTGTTGTGCAACATTTAACATGGTTGCCATTTGTTTTTGACTCAAAGTATCATCTCTATGCAATAATGCTTGCAGTTCGGAGTCTTCACAGTTTTTTTTGTGGGCTTCCATGTTGTCATTTCTCACATCAAATTCATTATCTCTGAACCGTTGAAAGCATCTTTTGCATGTTGCTTCTGATAGAGCATGATCACTATATGTCTCAACAACCACTCAATGCGACTCTGCAGCATTTTCTTCAAATGGAAACAAAAAATCAATGCTTTCTGCAAATCATCACTCTCCGGTACAAAATTTTGCATTTTCAACACAATAAAAAATATGATGTTGTTGAGAGATATCATGCCAACCAAGCAGAAAAAATGAAGACTCGTTCACTACAAATGTTCCCTACCAACACATTTGTACCTTAACGCTCACCTTATACCGGTACTTCACGTCTCCAACGTTTCCTTCTATCAACTTATATATGTACCGTGTCAAGGTTATAAAAAATTCTTTTAAATCGTCGAGTATACTACCTCGAATCGTTTCGGAACCCAACACTGGTATATTTATATTTTCATTAAAAAGAGTAAACCATTACCATTAGCAGGCTTCAGTTTTGTGCGTCTCTAACTACTCGGTGCAATTACTTAGGCATGTTACTTAACTCCACAGAATTTGTAGATGTGAATACAGATGTCCCACATATACTTGTATGTATACATAGGTATATGTTCAATCTGCCATATTGCACTGATACATATTTAATTGAATTATGGTGTGTGTAATAACTACAATATATTCTTGCAATATGATTTGTACTGCACTGTTGTTATTTTCGTTAAAATTTCTCTGTCCGTACGTTTCTTGCAACTTTTGTTGGCAACCTTGTTGACAATGATTGCAATTTCCGTTCGCACATACTCAAACATCCACATGACAACGCAAGTGACAGCGTCTGTGCCTTATAAATGCTCAATCCGCACAACAGACTACCTGAAGAAAATAATCTCCAGGTGTAATCCACAATGGTTTATAATGTAGCGACCGTTAGCGTACAGTTTTCAGTATTTTATCTCTCCCCCTTTTCTCATATCCTCTTTGGCATTAATTTAGTCTGCATGAAATTTTATTTTATTTGCTCCACCTTACCGTATAAAACTTACTGGTATATAGTCTGATACATATCAATATTTGTAAATGTTGGTTTATATATGGTATATACGAAGGTTACCCAAATAATACATTTTTGTACAACATTATTGTCAAAATTTTAGCCGAATCGGACCCGTAGTTTTGTTTTGACCGGTGAAATAGCGCAGTGAAATCAAAGAGTATTTAAATATTGTTTACGATCATTATTTTCGTTCAAAGGCGAACGTCAAAAATATATCTCCTGATCTTCAATGTAGTTACACTTCGGTATCAGGATCCCCTTAAACAGGTGCCACAGACGATAGTGTGAAATCAGTTCATGATGTTGTATCGACAGGCTGCCGATTGAGAAAATACATGGTAACTGAGGAAGTAGATATCACAAAAGACCGAATAGGTCATTTGAACATCGTGCTCGGTGGCGGTGCGATGGATTCCGGGTATGCTGACCTCGACTCTGTTTAAGCACAATCCGATTAAGTTTCTGCGTCGATTCGTAATCAAGTAACATTCGGAACTGTGGATTTTCCTGGCGAAGGGCGAGCCTGTCTTACATGCCGGAAAGGGGGTGATCGCCGTTCGGTCGGACTTCCCGAAGGAAAAAGTGCTATTTCACTATCACATCTCATCGGTATCAAATTTTTCGACTACGACTACTGCCCCACCTACACGATTCTTTAAATTCAACTCCTTACAGTTTATCTTTGATTCCAAAAGTAAAAAAGTAACTAGTTGGGCTGAAACTTGAGTCGAAAAGAACCCTCAAGAAACATATTAGACTGAGGTAGACTGTGTTGAGTAATAAATCGCAAGTTTTCCAAAATTTTTGTTTCTCTTTTGTGAGTTAAGTACTAGTCGGACCTCTCCCGTATGTTTACATATTGGTATATGTATGTGTATGCATGTAATTTTCGGTTATTGTGCGGCATTGGACTGCACTTCCGTGGCATGATGAAGTTGTCAATAATGCAACATCGGTACTGTGGTTGTTGTTGTTCTGCATGTTGTCGCCTGGACAGTTGAGTGACTTCCCACAAGCTAACCAGTTGGCCAGCTATGAGTACTTTATAAGCATCTCAGCTTCTCCTGAGCTGTTTTTATTTCCACCTCTTATATGCTCTGCATTTCTCTTTTCCAGCTCACACTTCAGGTGGCATGCTACTTCAGGAAGTCATTGTTGACAGTAACACCTGGCAGTGCTGCTCTATCCTCCTTCGTTCCACCAGCGAAATTCCAGCACGCCTACCCATGTGCAATCGTAGCAGGTGAGTGTATGTGTGCGCGTGTAAATATTTGCTGCTTTTAGACTTTTAGCTATTTTCTTTGCTCTCCATTCCTTTGTATCAGCAGCCATCAAAGCTTTTGCTGCGGTGTCCTTTCAACAAAAACTTTTAACGACACTTCACCGAGCATAAAAAAGTGCAGAGCAGCGTCTGTTGATGTGTGCGTATGTGTGTGTGAAGTGCAAACTTTGCATAACTTTTGAGCATACGCTAACATCAAATATTCCCACATGCCCACCCACACACATGCACGCACACGAACACACAGATGCCGTGCGGAGGAAATTAACTGCAGTGTGTGAAAGTCTACTTCATTAAACGCACTCTCTTTCATATGTGTGTGTATGTTGATTTTTCGCATTAGGGCGCCAATACATTTTTTTTTCTCGGAGGGGGAATCTTCCAAGATATCGTAATTTTTGCGGACGATATGCACGATTCGAATTGTCCGCGTAGGGTGCACCGCTCACGTGCTAAACCCTTAACTCCATAACATCGTGAGACCAAGCTTAGCCATTCGGCACATCAGTCACGCCTTTCAGGCCTATCTCTCGTTCATTCTTCCGCTCCGTTGCCACTCTTTCCTTCTAAGTCGTTGCAGAACTATTGCAGATCACATCTTCACTCATTCCCATACCAGTTTCGACTTAATCATGTGACGCTCTATTTTATCTGGCGTCACTCGCTCCGCTATTAGCTTCACCAAATTTGCTCTCTCATTTCCATACGTCGGGCAGGAAAAGCAGATGTACATCGCGTTTTCTCCGCTACTGTCACAGAAGGAATAGTTTGTTCTGTCATCATTGCCGTATTTGTGGAGATATTCTCTGAAACAGCCGTGCCCCGGCAAAAACTGCGTCAGGTAGAAATCTGTTTTATCATGTTTTCTCTCTACCCATACCTACACGCTTCCAATAAACCTGTGGGTCCATCTTCCCTTCGTTGCTGCGTCCCATCGTTTCTGCCATTCATTGATGCTTATCTGCCTTTCGTCTTTCCGCTCTGCAACCGTCTTC